AAATTCACTGTATGGTTTTGAGTTCTTATTTATATCTTTCTTCCCAACATTTTCTATGAGAAATAATTTTTGTTTTCTACATTTAGATCTTTAATTCATCTGAGCTATAAATACAACTGTATTCATTCTCCATATAGTGTCACAGGTTTCCTGAAACTAGCTATTAAGCAATTCATCCTGTCCCTACTGGGTTAACATCCCTATTACATATCATGCGCTTATTGAAAAGTGTTTTTAATAAAGACTTTTTTTATTTTTATGTTGTCATACTAGATATTTTTCCTCTAAGTCAACCAAATACTTTTTGTATATAAAGTGGGCCAGATAAACAAGCAAAGTAACGAATAAATATACACATTGTTGGTCTTTATTTCTTAACTAGCAAAACTGATTTCATTATTAAATATTGTATGACTTATACCAATTCAAGGCCTGTATCTGTCCCTTTCCTATGAAAAGTGTGGAACCATATGGCTGATACACACGGAAATCACTTCTTCCTGACCAGCTACCAGATGTGCAGGGTTCTTTGTTCAATTACTTTTCTTTTTTTTAAATTTGACATTATGAAACATACTGAATCAATCTTTATAGCTAAGAATATTAAAAACATTTTCTGTTAGAAATTCTGTAGTTATAAAGATTGCCTGTAAGAATAATTGATAGGAATGATGTATTATGTATCATCTTCTTGACCAAGGAAATCTGGTGTGCAGACGTAGAGAAAGCACAGCTGGATGAAAACAATTCTATAATCAAGATGTGATGTTTGAGGTACCCCTGTTAACGTAGAAAGATTAAATTGTGGAAGGACTTCAAATACAAATTTCCAAGTCATTTTTTATTTTTAGATATTCATAGTCCATGGAAGATACATTTAACTTTCAATGTGATTTAGTCTGCCATAGTATACAGCCCTCCAGACTGAGAGTTAAAACAGATTTTATTTCTGACTTTATAATGTGGATTTGCTATAACCAGGAAGGAAAACCAAAGTTCTGAGACAGACACTACTTCTAATATGTGCAAATGTAGACAATTCCCATTGTAATTGTCATGTTTCTACATCTTTGCACTGGTCTGGATTTTACATACTCATAATGCAGTGTTTCTCAAACTCAGCTTTCTGATTACAAAAGAAATACCTGCTTTTTATGCCAGTTTCGGAATAAAAAAAAAAAGCACCTCTAATTCCAGTGACCAAGGATTTGTACTAATTTCTTTTTTTTTCATGTTTGCTTCTTGTTTCGTTTTAAAACACTTTCCTTAAGTGCTTTCTATATGCCAGAAACCAGGCTAGGTGACTTTCATATGTATGTATACTTTTTATGTATGTATTATCTACTGTCTCAAGAGACAAATAGAGGAAGAACAAAGGTCATATTCTGTGAGGATGTTTGCGTGCAGATTCTTTTCAGGCGAAGGCAACGTCCTAGAATTGCTTTTCCTACACGTATGTATATTGGCTCTCTTTCCTCAGTTGCTAACTGCTACTGAAGTCTCATCTCCTCTCTATCCAAATCCTATTGGATTTACAGAGAAGTGAATAACTTGGTTATATCGTGATTGGTATATCCCATTGCCTTGCATATTTGTGCATTATGAACAAATTAATATGCTTTTATTTTTCACTGTATTCTGAGAATTCCACTCATTTTGGAATATTCATAAGAATTAGGCTATAGGCGTTTGGCCTTAAGAAACTTATGTGGTTAAAGAGATGAAACTTTCACGGAAAAATAATTATAAGAGGAATAGAAATATCACATTTGTGCTACAAATATGAATGCTATTGAGCTACAAAAGAAAACAAAAGACCTTTATGGGCTGGAGCTGTAAAGTCTTTATAAAGGAAGTGAAAGTTTAGCTACGTCTGGAAGGAATTTTTTAAAAAATGAATTGGTGCCCAGTGAGATGATGGGAAGTAGTTCACTAAGAAAAGGAAAGAAGGAATAAGACTAGAGGCCCAAAAGTGGGAAATAGGATGGCAATTCAGGGGACAGATAGCAGTGGGGGAGTTCTGAGGAGGAAGATTTGATTCTGTTGGTGCACTTGGCTATTAACTGAAAGGTTGGCATTTCAAGTCGATCCAGAGGCACCTCATGAGAAAGATCTGGTGGTCTACTTCCAAAAAATTAGCCATTGATAATTCTATGGAGCACATTTCTATTCTGACACACAGGGGTCACCATGAGTCAGAATTGACTCGACGTCCATTGGTTTTTTAATGTATGGCTTGTCCCCACCACCTGGCCCTTAAAAGTGAAAACTCTTCTTGGACTGCTAGCATGACATATATTAAAATGTTCATTAGTTTTACAATAATGAAACAAGAAATATATTCCTCATGCTTATAGTTTTTACTCAACTCTACTCAAAATAAATTTACAAATAAAATATTTAAAAAAATCTACAAATCATTAAAATGTTTAATGTGTCATTTTTTTTTCTGAAATAAGATATCTCCATGAATATGGGGTACAGACTGCGCGCGCGTGTGTGTGTATACATGTGCACACACACCCGTATAAAACTTCTGCCTATAGCACTATGTGCCATGAGATGACACTTTATTTAAATGACTTCAAAACTTTTTATGTATATTACTACATAGGGATGTTGTTTGGTTTTCATTTGGCTGGAACATATCATTAATATATTAAATCCATCTTCTCAGCAGCTGGAAACTATTAAAGCTTTGAAAGTGGTTCAAACTCTATGATAAACACAAATACTAATATTGAGGTTAGTATGGAGATCATGCCATATGCTCTTAAATATAGGTTATTAATTTATGTTGATTATCATTGAGAATAAGGAGCCCTGGTGACACAGTGGTTAAAGGAATCGACTGCTAATCAAAAGTCTGTGGTTTGAATCCACCAACCCCTCAGCAGGAGAAAGATATGACAGTCTGCTTCTGTAAAGATTTACAGCCTTGGAAACCCTGTGGGGCAGTTCTACTCATCCTGTAGGATACCTGTGAATCAGAATTGACTTAACGGCAGTGGGTGGAATCATGAAAATAAATAGTAAACTAAGAATTCGTTACAGAAAACTTATTGATCTCTAGAAATGTTTCCGTTCCCCAACCCTAGTTTGGAAACACTGCACTGAACTGTTCCAGAGTTTAGGCTGCTAACCGTCCTTTGGAAGCCCTATGGGGTAGTTCTACTCTGTCCTATAGGGTCACTATGAGTCAGAATCAACTCGACAGTGTTTTTGATTTTTTTTTTTTTTTGGTTTATCTGAATAATTGAGCCATTTTTATGGAAAGACACTGGATTGTAGATAATGAAGGACCATGTAAGTCCCAGTCAATGTTTTGTAATTAACAGGAAATGCAAAACAATAGGTTATGTAAGAGGCTGTGTCATAGGTCCATGTGTAAGAGGCCCCATCTACGGAAGTTGGTTGAAACAAGGAAATAGAAGAGTTATTCATGTGGAGACAAATGAAATGAGATCAGTGAAAGTTGGAGGATTGTGTCTTAGAAAGAACAAAATACCTGGAGAAGAAACCAAGAAGGAACCAAGAAGAAAACCAGGACAGAAAAGACGTTTCAGGAGGGAGGGTCATCAATGTCAAATGCAGACACAAATTCAAAAAAGTTGGACTCTATGCTTCAGAATCAATGTCATCAGTGGCATGGTGCCATCATAGTTATGATTCAGTAAATGGTGGCTTTATGGAGAAAGCAGTTAGTGGAAGAGAAGACTGCAGAGGCCTGGCGTGGAGACTTGCTGAAAATGAGCACAGTGACACAAGTCGTTGCCATTAAGAGTCACAGTTGGCTATGGAAGAAGCTAAGGATATAGTCTCAGAAAAACATATCAATAGATATAAGAATGTTTCCGTCTAGTGAGGATTGTTTTGGGGGTCTTCCTGATTTCCTGCTCGGCAACTTCTCAAATCAATGGCTATAGCATTCTACATTTCAAGGTGTGGTCCTGCCAGGTCAAGGGAAGCCTCAGAAAGCATTTTTTTGAACCTCTTTTATCTCCCCAAGCATGTAACCAGCAGCTGCAGAGAATTAATTACCTTAAATGGCGAAAGCTTGCCTTTTTGGGGCCTTGTAACTTAGAACTAACATTCCTATTTGACGTAAAATGTCTTACTCCACCACCAGTGCCATTTTGTCACATTCTCCACAAACTATATAAATGACCATTTTCACACATGATTGCATTGTAACTATGTATTGAGGCCTCATCTGTGGCCATGCCCAGTTTGATCAAGGCCAGGAAGAGTTGAGCCTGGAGGCCTGACCAGGGCCAACCACTGGGACAAAAACACAACTTGTAGCTAATGGCTTTTGCTTCTAAGATGGCTGTAGTTGTTTTCTCTATACTCCTTTTATACTGACAAAGATAAATATTGCTTTTCTTTTGTATTCTCATAGGGCAAGTGTTCCAGCATACTGTGAATTATTTTTATACCATTGTTATAAGGTCCTAGGCCACATGCAAACACATATAAGTTTGTTTCTAGCTATAAGAATGAATATAGAAAAAGTACCTGCTCTTCAGTACCTGCTATGTGATAAACCACATTGCCACTGAGTCAGTTTTATCGGGAAGGTGTAATAATCCCTGAACTAACGTGGCAGATGACACTTGCTCTGTCCATTCAAAAACAGATGTCAAAAACCAAATTCAAGAAATCTTCATTTCATTCTAACTTTGAGTGCTATACTGAAATGGATTTTTTTTCCTGATGATTCACTGAAATCATTAGGGAGAAAGTTCTCTCACTTTCTTATTAATAATATTGATATAAAATGACCTCGAACTTGTGCATCATAAGTTCAAGGACACACGGACACAGACACACACAGACCTTATTTAATTACTTAGCATCTTTGTGTATATGACTTGCAGGTTTGCATTATGTAAAAATGAAAATTATAACAGTTGAGATAGATAGTGAAAAGGGCTGTGTGTTAGTGTTTGGTTTCTTGTCTCTTTAATACTCCAATACCATTTACTTTCTTGTTGCAGGTGAAGACAGATGACAGAGTGGTTAAGATGGACCTTGGGTTACTCTTCCTAAGGATACGCAAAACAGATGCTGGGATCTATTTTTGTCAGACAATCGAGCACAGTTTTGTCCATACCGTCCGTAAAATCACCTTGGAAGTAGTGGAAGAGGAGAGAGTAGAGGAAATGTTTAACAAAGACTATGAGGAGGACGGGCCTCACAAGATGCCTTGTCCTGTCCAGAGCAGCATCCCACAGGGAGTAAAACCATGGTACAAGGAATTCTTGCAGCTGATTGGTTATAGCAACTTTCAGAGAGTGGAAGAGTACTGTGAAAAGGTATGGTGCACAGATAAGAAGAGGAAAAAGCTTAAAATGTCACCCTCCAAGTGGAAGTATGCCAACCCACAGGAAAAGAAGCTCCGTTCCAAACCTGAGCACTATCGCCTGCCCAGGCACACGCTGGACTCCTAATGGGGTGAAACCATCTACTGGCTTTTGAAGAATTTCTATTTGGAACTTTAAAAAGTTATGAGATATCATCTAACTTCTTTGCATTACTTAAAATAGGTTTCTGTAATACAGAAATGGCTGTAAATGTGTTATGGTAAATTATTCTACATATTCATTTGAATGGTAAGATATCACATAAAATTAATTTGTAAAACAAGTGTATTGCTTAAATGGTTTCATGTTATATTTATGAAAAAATTACCATAGCTGTAGTTTTGAGTACTTTGCCTGCTTTTCTATGGCTATTATTATTTTACACTTAGAAGAATTACAAATATTGGAACATTAAAAAAATAGAGAATTTCACATTCACAGAAAAAAATAGACACTTTTAGTGTTTCTGAACTTTTCCTTTCTACCATTATGTAAATTATGCAAAATATCAGATACTTTAACATTCTCATGTGAACTGTCTGTACTTTTTAGTAATTATTGTATTAGTGTCATCTAAGCCATGCGTTTTTACGAAGCGTGTTGTGATTGTTGTAAACCTGAGAGGAAAAATATGGTCACCCTGAGGTTTGTGCCCCTTCATAAAACATTCACTAAACCACATTCATAATACTTTTGTTTCACAAATGAAAATATTCTTCTAAAATTTCACTCCAGTGTGAAAGAATGAAACTAAGGTTACTTCCCAGTAAGATATCAAAGAATGTCAAAACACATGGAATAATAATTAGAACTCGAGCTAAAATTTTTTTGCTACCCTCTTGTGGTAGAAAACATGTATTCCAATGTCATCTTTTTTCCTCTAATAAAGAGATGAAAGCAGTTTCTCAGTAGATACATCTACTGCATGTTCAGAAACAAACTAACTGAAATTAAAAATATATATATTAATGCTTATTTAATATTTTAAGATGGAGATAATTTGTTTATGGATGATTTATTATCTCACATAGCAACAGTGAAGAGATTCTAGCAGCGAAGCTCTATTAAAACTTAAACTTTTAAGCCTTCTAAATAATTTCCCAGAAAGCAAAAAGATATTCCATAAATATAATATTTTATTTTTGGAAAAAAAATTAAATGATTTTACTCTCAGAAATTAATTTTTTCTCTCTCTATTACACTAACAAATAAAACAGTTCCATGAGTTCAGTTAACTACAAAGATCTTTACAGCATTTTTACTTTGCTCTTATAAATATTATCAGAAGTTTTTATTTTGAGGGTGTTTGTTTCCTGAATTCTTTCCTTCTCATACTTTAAATGTTGAGCCCACTGCCTTTTTAAGATATAAAATTTTGTTATGAGATGTTTTCATTTAAATTAAAAAATTAAAATCATGTGGATTACCCATGACAATTATATTTATTTTAAATGTTAATTTTAAATAATATTTATTTTAGTTTTGAAAGTTAGTTTATAGGCTACATAATTAAGAAAGTTAAAGTGCGGATAACTCCTAATAGCTTGCAATTTCATTCTAAAATCAACAGATATATAAATGTTTTAAGAAAGTTTAAGAAGTTCATTCAGATAAGCCCCCAAGATCTAACAGATCTTTAGAATACAAGTATACTGAAAATTAACATCCTCTGCAAAACCCACATGCTATTTACCTATAAATCTACCAGAGGTCATTGCTGCCTCTATTGAAAGTTAAAAAACAAACAAACTGCATTTTAGTAAAAATTTGTCCAATCTGAAGAAACAGAACCATAAACATAGATTACTGGGTCCTTACCAAAGTTATGTCAGAAATACTCAAAGTGAACAGATGCATCAATAAAACACAATTTATTCAAAATATTCTTCAATTAACACAAGAGAGGGTAAAACAGGATTTTCTCCTGTATCCAAATTTTTAAAAAGAGTAAGGCAGATATGGTATAAGTAGTTATTTTAATCTCAATAACACATACAAGCAGTTAATAATAATGTCACTTTTAAACTAAAATACTTAGTAACTGAAATGATAAGGCTGAGGAAAAATAACATTTTTATGATATGAGTCTTCAGGATTAAGCACACATACAAAGTGATAAAAATGAGATGACTATTAACCAGAAAATAAATATTTTACATAAAATTCTAAAATTGATTCTGAAAAAATAAATCCAGCCTAAAAAAGCTTCTGAAAATGCTGTTTGGAAAGAAGCCTGACAAAACCTTGAGGTCTCAGGTCCACAATTCGGGAAGAACACTAAATTTTTTTTAAATGTCTTACTACCTTCCTTTAGTAACTTAAAAGAACTAGGAAAGTAGAAAGAAAAGGGGTAAAGACAGAGAAAAGGCAGTTTCCACAGATATGTCTCACAGCTTTCGTTTTCATTCCCCCACCACACACACACAAGACAAATCTCCACTGCCCTCTCAAAAAATAAGCAACCTATGTTCCTCTGTCCTTTTTGAGAATCTGAAAACACCACAAAAGCATATTCCCAGTCTTTCGTTCTGTGTAGGATTAGAATTCAAATTCAGCCTCTCCTTTAAGAAATGCCTGGACTTTGAAACTCACAAATGAATTGAACAGATTGATCCTCTCCTCCTTCAACTCGAGAGGAGTATACAGTCATCTGCAAGATTTGGAGAAACTAAGAGTTCACTTCCGACCCAACCACATTTTCCTCAGACATTAACTTGGTGAAGGAGAGAAAACGTGCCTCCTAGGAACACACAGCTGAGAAAGAATCATAACTACTCGTATTGTCTAAGGGCACCTCCATAGAGTGCCCTCCTCTATGTTGTTCTCCGTGTAGGGAGAGAGCCTGTGAGAAGAGTGAGTCTCTACATTAAACAATGTATGCTTCCTCTTCACCACTAAGTTGCTCCATGAGCTGCTGAGGGAGACAGGGATTTGTCTGCAGGAAGGTTTACAACTTGAAGGAATTTTACTTGATGATTTGTGAGGCCTCTTCTGTGTCTGTCATTCAGCATTGCTAAATTTCTTCTTTTGTGTCTATTACTGGATATTTCCGTGCAAAGCTATCCACTCGGAGAAACAGGGATTAAAAGCAGAAATGGTCACTGATAAGCACTCTAGCAAAAAGGGAACAGAAAGTCTTTGCCTGTTCAGTAAAAGGCAATTCCACATATATTTTAGTTTTTTTCCTTTCTAAAATCAGTTAAATATTTAGGATATTTTTACCGAGTGTTTAATATTTGCTATACGGTATAGGATTTTGTAAATCTTCATAGTGATTATAAACATTTGTAAAAATTGTAAAATAAAATAAATTGTTTTGAGTGTTGGTGTTAAGCATGAAACTCAACACAACAGCTGTTGTCCTTAAAAATGAATTGCCTTTTGACATAATTAACCTGACAAGTATATTGAGAAAAGCACTCAGTATTGTACAGATATTTGACATACCAGGAGAAAGCACCACAGTTAGGATGACAATTAGGAGTAGATGTTTTTGTTTTCCCTTGCAGCAGAATATCACATTGAGTTCCTTTTCCCAAAGAAGTGCCTCATTTTTCAGGCCAACAACTGTTGCATTTGAATCAGATATAAATAATAGATTTTCCATGAACACTTTTTTGATTGTAGCCGTGTTATTTAAGCTGGTATGTTTATTTTATTTTTTTTCTTGGGTGGATAGCTTTATATTATGTTTTGCATTATGAATTGAATGTTATGTTTGTGTTTAAATGGCTTAGGTCTAAGCTAGAGTACTATACTGGAGTATTCTTGTCTGTATGGCATCCTTCTATTTGCTTGGCTGGGTCCATAACAGCATGTGCATATTATTTCTTTGCACTGATTGTAAGCCATGAGATATTTTATCATCTGGTGGCAAGCTGCAAAGACCACTGACAATGTGTCTCTTTAACTATAACATGAATCTGCCAGTATGCACTACATAAATTGTCTGTACTAGTACATACAATTTCTATTTACATCAACTTAGATGAACAAGAAATAAATATTTGTAAACCGTTAAGTGCTGTCTGAGGAGTGTTTTCTAAGTTTTTGCCAATTGAACTCAAGTTTCATATGATGTCAGCTCTAAATGTAAACATACAATGCCAGCCTCGTGCTAATTTTTGTTTTTTAGAAGTTAGGAAAGAATTCAATTTGCTTTCCAAAGAAATTCATGGATCAACTTTCCCAAGGAGGGCGAAGTCCATTAAGCTCATTTTCTTGCAGCAGTTGGGTTTACATCACGTCTCTAGGACCAGCAGCCAGAAAGTCCTTTCAAAGGTGCGTCACCCAGACAAGTGCTATGGAAAATGAACGCCTTTAAAATTGTAAATTGAATGCTTAGGATTTTTGAAAGCCTCAAGCTCTATCTCAATGTATTTAAATTGCTGTTTTCTCTTTTTTTATTATTATTTTTATTTTTTGTAAGACCTGGGAGAGGCCATTTAAATCAGATTTAGTATTAAATGAATCTCTCTTTCGGAAGCTTTGTTTTCAAGGCAATTTTTATTTTACTGATAAATAATTAGTTGAAATTTTTTTTAAGGAAGAATTTGGCAGCAGCTGTAGAATAGTGTCTCCGAGAGCTTTATGATGCATTAGTGCCATTAGTGGTAACTGTTTACCCATGTTTAAAACTTGCATTCATTTATAATACAGTGCCTACTTTTAGGGTAGTATCTGATAAATCGATAATATCTTTAGATACATATTCAGTCATTAGTCAAGTGAAAGAAGAGGAACAGTTTGGTGACTAGAAATCTGTAGCCCATAATTCAAAGGGAACAAATGTTTGCACTTAACCTGTTTGACAACTATCTGCCAGGCCCCAGATCACATACTGCATAAAGTGTGGAAATATTAATAACCCCATTAGTTATGTGGATAAGTAATGTTAAATTACATTTTTTCTGAGAAAATGTTTACAGTGTTCATTGGAAAATATGCAAATCTTTATTTCACTTTATGTGACATGAAACACAACCAAAGTTTAACTTTTAAAATGTATTTCAAGTATTTTTAATGTTGTGAAAATTCTTTTAATGATTAATCTTGAGGCTTCTGGTCAAGAAGACATGGAAAGCCTTGTTTTGATTCACAGGAACTGCAATGATGTAGCAATGATAGGTAATTTATAAAAAGAGAAAATCATTTTATAAAATTAAACATACAAACAAGGAAGATTAACATCTCTATGGACCAGAAATGGAACAGAAATGCAAAGCAATGACTGGGGCTGAAGCCGT